ATCATTTATGTGGTCAATTAATGAATATCCTTTGCAGAAGATGCAATTCTTTTATAGATAGCAATAGTTACATCAGTGCTATTTTTGGAAATGAATGCGTGTTATTACGCGGCAGAAATATTGCTAAATAACTAATCATTTTCTAATTATACCAATCATTTTAAAGTCAGGTTGCGGAGGAAAAAAATTTTTTGATATGTTTTAGAACTGATTTTTCTAAGACAGAAAGAAGTTGTTTGACGAAAAACTGGGGAACGGTGAATGAGATACAGATTTTTTAATATTTAAAAACTGGGGGCAAAAGGGGCGTAACTGCCCATTTTTACACCTTATGGATGATTGAAAATTCTTGGAATTGACATAAAACTACTGATGTCGTTCAGATCCTTCAGTGTGAAAATGTGGCTTGCTTTGCAAGCACATCTAATATCTAAGGAAAGAAGAGCTTAGATTGGTACCAGAGAAAATAATTTTGTTATCAACATTTAATACATTATGCTAATTTTCATCTTTGTAAGCGCATAAGACATTGCAAATTATTTCTGTGACAGTCTTTTGAAGTGTGTAAAGCTCCATTTTATCCCATACAGTCAAAATATTGGGAGGGGGATGATACAATGGACCATCCCCCTTGTCAAATATTGGGGGATATATCCCCCCCCCCCCGGGATCTACGCCTATGACACCAACCATTGCCCCTGTTACAGTTTCCCCTCTTGGCGGCCCTGGTCGGTCTGATGAAACGTAGCGAAAACTACTTTTACAGTCTCAGGGTGAAATTTCCTGGCATAGATCCTCCTTTTGAGAAATTTGGATCTTCATCGGAATATCTCTGGCGTCATCACTACATTACTGTCCGATAGAAGTGGGGCTGGGGGAGGGACTGGTGGTGAGGTTTCGTCCCCAGTTGCTCGACCAATTCGAGAGTGAGTGGTAATAAGGGGTGGGCGCTTAACTAATCATTTTGAAGTTTAGCCTGATATTAGGGTACTAACTGTCCTTGGCAACAATTTTCTTTCAGATACCTGGTTGGTGTGGTGTGCACCTGTCTCATAACATCCAAATTACGGTGAAAGCAAGCTTGTATGTGAACTACTGTATATCGTAAACACGTCGTCGCCAAAAACATCTAAAATATTGAAGTTTGGAATGATGTTCTTTTAAGTTTGGAAAATGTACATAATAGGTAAGTAAAGCATGTATTACGCTGTATTGCTGTTGTACAAGCCTGTATGGCTACATGTGTTAGATTAAAAATGCGGCATCCATTGTTGTGTTGTTGTTGTTGTTGTTGTTCAGGCCTACATTTTTTAAGACTAGGGGCTGTGCTCTTATAGAGGGTCCTTTACATTCATTTTGTTGACTATTTTAAAACAGTAAATCTTAAAATTTGACTGTAATACAATGACATTAAACCGGAATATCCGAGTGAAAATGTAAACAAAATTAACAACATTAATAGGAAGTTAAATAGCTGTCTCTTATACACATCTAGATGTGTATAAGAGACAGATATTACCCTGTGTGTAATGAAACACT